ATGTAAATTCTATAGAATTATGTTGTGCATGTGTGCATGGCAAGATGATTGCTTAGTCTTCAATTTGGAAACTCCTACAAGAATTATCACCAATGTTTGAAAGATTGCATGGTGATATTTGTGGTCCTATTAAATCAATATTTGGATAATTTTGTTATTTTTTGGTCCTTATTAATGCATCAAGTAAAGAATCATATGTTCCATTATTATCATCTTGAAACATGGTATTTGCTAATCTTATATCTATGCTTATTTGTTTTTGAGCATATTTTCCTAATTATCCTATCAAAACATTGTATATGGATAATATAAAAGAATTTGTATCAAAGACCTTTGAAGACTATTGTAGTACAACAAAGATTGAGTTGATATACGGTCTTCCATATGAACATGCTCAAAATGGACTTGCAAAGTCATTTATAATGCATATACAATTCATTATGAGGCCACTCCTTCTTCATACAAATTTACCTGCATTTATGTGGAGTCATGCAATTTTGCATGCTACTGCATTAATATGCCTTTGTCCTTCCTTTCTTGAAATTATTATACCACAAGAGTTCATTTCAAGTCGTATTCCAAATGTATCTCACCTATAAATGTTTGATTTCCGTATTTGGATTTGAGTACCAAAATCTCAATGGCGTACCATTGGAGCTCATTGATAAGAAGCCATATATGTTGGTTTTGATTCACCAAGCATTATTTGTATAGTTGATCTATCAATTGACACATTATTACATGCATATTTTTAAAATTACTGTTTTAAAGAGAACATATTTTCATATCTTCAAAGAAGAATATTTGATCAATAAAAAAATATAGTACTTGCATTTGGAGTACCAGAAACATTTATAATGAATCTTGATCCTAGCACATCTTTGGTTGAAAGTGAAGTTTCCAAGATTTTGTATCTAAAATGGATTAAAAATAAAATACTTGATGGCTTCAATGATGTACATTAGATTATAAGAATTCTAATTAATGAGGCTCAAAATAAAACCACTTAGATTGCAAAATGACTAACAAATATACCTCAAGTAAAAATATCAACAATTAAAAGGACTTGTAGATCAAATAAGCAACCACAAAAGAAAAAAGCTATTTCTTATAAGAAAGATGATCGCGAACCCTAAACCATTCAGAAAGTAATGCATTGTTTTGACTGGTTATAATGGAAAACTACCATTGAAGAAGAGTATGTTTCTTTTCATAAGAGAAAAGTCTTTGGTCCAATTATAGACAATCTTTCTTTTTGCCCTGTGGTATATAAGATGGTATTAATATGCAAGTGAGATGCTAAAGATCAAATAATCTGCTATAAAGGTTGTCTTGTTGCTGAAGGATTTATCCAATGATTTGGCATTGATAATGAAACTACATATTTTCTACTTATAGATTCAATTACATTCTTATATATATTATTAGAATGGTAGTTCATGCCACCCTTGAGATGCATTTCATGGATGTGGTAACTGTGTATTTGTATGGTTCACTTGATGTAGATATTTATATGAAAGTTCCATCTAATTTGGAAATAAGAATTCCAAATGGACCTGCTCCAAAACGATATTGTGGTATTAAATTATACAAGGCCCTATATGATCTAAAACAATCTAGATGCATGTGGTATGAACGTCTTTAAGATTATTTAATTATAAATAAATTTACAAGTGATCCATTAATCCCTTGTTTATTTATCAAACAAGATAAAATTGGTTTTGTAATCATCGCTATATATGTTGATGATCTTAACTTAGTAGGTACTAGATCTATATGTATTTCAGCTACTAACCTACTTATACATAAATTTGAAATAAAAATATTAGGAAATATAACTCTTTGCATTGGTCTTCAGATTATGCATCTCAGAAATGGTAACATTTTTCTCTACCAGTTAATGTATATTAGACAAATCTTATGGAGATTCAATATGATTGATGCTTATCTATTGTCTACACCAATGGTTGAGCGTGGTTGTAATGATTATGATTGATACTGTGTGTGCAAGAAAGTAGAGGAAATATTAAGAGAACAATATCTATACTTTGTAGTGATTGGAGCACTTTATATTTAGCCACATCTATGAAACTAAATATTGCATTTGCAGTTAGTGTTCTTACAAGACATAATGCATGTCCAATAAAATGACATTGAAATAACATCAAATATTTATTATATTATTTAAAAGGCTCTAAAGATTTAAGATTATACTACACACAATCTACAAATCTAAAATTAGTTGGATATTTTGATACAGGATATAAATGTGATATTACAACAGCTAAATCTCAAAAAAGCTATGTATTCTTAAGACATGGAGCTACAATATCATAGAAATCAGTGAAACAAACTACAACTGCAACTTCATCCAACCATGCAAAAATTATTGTATTACATGAAGCATCTCGGGAATGTATTTGGTTGCGATCAATTGATAAACTTATTCAAACAACCTATGGACTTTTATATGATGATTCTCCAACTATCTTGTATGAAGATAATAGCACTTATGTTGCATAGATGCAAATTGATTTCATTAAAAGAGATAAGACAAGGGATATTGATTCAAAGTATTTTAGTTATACTTATGACTTAGTAACTGATCAAGTACTTAAAATCAAGAAAATTGAATTTGTAAATAACTTTGTTGATGTCCTCACCAAAGCTCTCCCTTTGTCCAACCATTGTCAACTTACTTATGGCATTGGAATGCGACAACTTGCTTTTCTTGAGCAAGAAAGTTAATGAACTCTTCAGATAATGTTGTATTCTATTTTTCTTCATCTATGTTTTTGTCCTTAAATATAATAAGTTTTTCCTAAATAAGGTTTTAATGAGGTAACAATTGTTGATCTTACAAGATTACAAAAAAATATAGATCATAATTCTATACATATAAATATCATAACAAGCAAGAAAGAGTGTTGAGAGCATTAAATGTAGCCACTACTTTCCATATTATTTATTGTAATCTACAATATTTATTATAGCTATAGTGTTCGATATGTAGTGACAAGACAATATTTATCTTCTCTCCTTCTCTTTTGTACAAGAGATATAATCTTATCAATAAATTCACTTTTTATGTGAGAATGTTTACATATATGTGCATATTACTTCTAGCTACTCTTGTCTCTCTTTCTCTAAAACATTCTCAATATTTATAAACCATTTAATTTGTCTTAATCATTGCTTGACAAAAGCTTAAGTTTTCACATAAGATTTGGTGCAAAACTATTTTGGTGCAGATGAGAAAGATTCAAGTTTTTACATGTATTGGTTTCTAAGTGTGTTGTTTTCATAATAGGCCAGATTTGTGGTTTCAACATTTTAATGCTGAGTGTTGATGCTTGATAGATTGTTCTTACATTTTGAGATTTTGTAATGAAAAAATGTATGAAAAAAGGATAAAAATTGCTTCTATACTACACTTTATATGATGTGATGGTGTGTTGTTCAAATGATGTTAATAATAACAAGCGGATCAAGACAAACAAATATATCAATGGATACTCCTCTGCAATACAATCAATTTTAAAACAAATTTCTCCAATAATATTAGTTTCATTAAAAGTTATAGTTTAGACCACACAATATGGCAGTTTGAAGTTGTTTGATTGTTGGATATTTATTTATTTTGTTTGTAATAAGATTTTTCTCAATTAATTCTTGCATGCAATAAAGAAATCTGAATATAAAGTAGGTTATCTTCAATACTTCATCAAAAAAAAATAAATTGGAAGATTCTTCATTCATCAAGTACAACCTCATTTTTCATCAAAATTGAAATTGGTTTGTCTACACTACTTGCAAAGGCTACATGCATTTGTTTTTATGCATGGATAGTTCTATCTCCAATTCTTTCATTGGCTCAATCCAATTGTGGATGTCAAGCAAAAAATGATTTGGAAAATGGTATGAAGAGCTTTTATAAGAAAGCCCATGTAGATCAATTATTAAAGTGTGAATTCAAGAGTTGTTGATGCCCTTGTGTAGCTTCCACATCAGAAAGAATAAATCAATTTTAAAAGTATTACATATTAAATATAAACCTCACAATGTCATATATTAAAAATCCTATGAGAATCACAATGTTTTAAAAATGCTATAAAGTATTAATGAATAAATATACAATTTACATGAATGAAATACATTAATATACATGTACATGTACTTACAATAAAATTTATCCAATTTATGATTGTCTTACAAGGGTAATTAGAAGATGATTCTAGTTTTGAATTTTACAATATAAAATATCATTCAAATGTCTTCAAATTTTAAACATGGTTAAAACCTAATTAAATTGTGGCAAGTTTTTTTTTGTAACATTATTAGAATAAATGTCAATCTATTATATATGGAGGAAATCAAGAACTGCTAGGAGATTGCTACAAAATTACTTTTTTGAATACCTTGTACATAAGGTATGCACAAACATTAAAATATATACTAAAATTAGCTTTTGTGAATGTTATATACTTTATTTAAACTTTTTTTCCTAAAAAAATTTATTCTTAAAAATATATTAGTTATTTAGGAAAAAAATAATCAAAAGAGCAAAGATATCTAAACAATAAAATTAAATACCAAGACATATTAGATTCTTATTTTAACTCAACAAAAAGATGTTCGTTTTAAATCAAGGGCCAACAGTAAAGTCATGCTTGGGTGGCTATTTTGGCATTGCAAGTTAACAAAGATTCTAATGTAATGTAGAGATATTTTAAAAATACATAATATATAATTGCCATGGTCAGAAAAAACTATATTATATAAGTTTTTTAAATGTAAAAAAAAATTAAGATTAATATTTTTTTTAAAAAAATTTATTAAAAAATAGTGATAAGGATATGAATCAAAATAATTTTATTCAATTTTATTGAATAAAAAAGTTAGTTTTGTAAAGAAACTTATCACAGAAACAGGGCTGGGGACGATGATGCTGTGTGAACGGAGCAAGACTCGTGTGTCGAATTCGCTGTTGTTTTCGGGGGTCTTATTTTGCACGCCTTGGTTTCGACGCTTCTCTCGTGCGTTGCCTCTCGATTCTCACCTCTTTAGGGTTTTCCTAACCTCACCTCTTCGCTCTCCTTTCTGGCTCTACGATATTTGTTCTTGCTCTTCCTTACGATTACGCTTCCTTCTCAGGTTTGATCCACTCAGTTTGGATGTTGGGTCGGTATGTTATTAGCCTTGGTGATACTCGGGAGCAATGGTTGGTGTGAAGGAATGAGAGACGGGAGTTAGAGGAGCTGTGTGTGTGTGTGTGTGTGCGCTCGTGCGACTTTTGATGAGTTCATGACGATGGTATTGTTGTTTTCGTAACACGAGAAATTTGGAACAGTTGTTGTCTTGGCGAGGATGGTTACAGTAAGAGACATGAGGGTGAGGAAAAGAACCTCGCGAGCAGCGAGAAGTAGAGAGTGTGGGTTTGAAGCATAATCAAGGGTAGGGTTGAGTAGAGTGTGCCAGGCGTTGATGAGTAGCGTTCGCACAGGGATACGAATGAATTTGTACGTGGAATTTTGTTTCATAGCATGTGGTTTAGAAGATTGGGTCGAATAGGAAATTTGGGTGGAGGTCGCTGCGAAGGAGCAGATGACGGGGTGTAACGTGAAGAGGAGCAGGGGATGTAGTGTGCTTCTTGTTACCGACATTGTAATGCGATGCCCGCCCTTATGAGGCAAATTCCCTTCGCATTAGGGCGAGAGAGACAGGCGCATGGTACAAAAGAAGATTGAAAACAGTGTGTGGTCTGATTTGGTGCAATTGGGAAGGTCAGTGATAGGGGTGACACCGATGCGGGAATTGGGGCCGCGACCTTCCTGCACTCTGTGGATACTGCAGGAGTGACATTGTCCCAGATGTTGATGGAAGGAGGGTCGCTTCCTCCTCGAAAACGATTGCTGGCAGGATTGAAGCAAAATGGGTGGTTGTCCACTTCCCCCCCACCTGCTGTGTCATCGAGCGGGGCTGCTGAGGATGCGGTTGGACTGGGGAATCACGCTGAGGAGAGAGCGGAGGTGTCAGCGAGCGTGGGGTTGAATGGGTTGAGTCAAGTATTGAAGAAGCCAAGGGTGGTGAGGTACGCAGATGGTTCAAGGTTTGGGAGACAAGTAATGGGGCCGGACGCAGCGGGCGAGGAGATGGCAGGGAGATTGGGGGCTTCTCGGAAGATGCCGTCGTTGGGGTTGGTGAAGTTGGAGGGAGGCTCGCCCCAAGAAGCAGCCGTGGCAGCTCGGAACGCCGCAGCAGCAGCGGCGAAGGTGGCTGCCGCAGCGAAAGCGAACGCAGCTGCAAAAGTGAGCGCGGCTGTGAAAGCAGGTGCAGCTGCGAAGGCAGCATTGGAGGCCGTTGCATATGCGTGCAGAGCAGAGGCTGCGTGTGGGGCGGAGCTGCAAAGGAAGATGATTGCGGAGAAGGGGTCTGGAGGAGGAAATAGAAGAATGAGGCTGGAGATTAATATGCGTTCTAAGCCTCATCGGGACAGGAGCTGGAAGGGGGAGGGATACGGGGGTAGGCGGTTGGTAGATGACGTACAGTTAGCCCGGCAGCTGCATAGAGTAGTAAACAACAGCCCGCGAGTATCTCGAAGCACTGCTCCGTTGCGTCGGAAGGTGTCAATGGAGCCGCAGACTCCGTTGAGTGGAGTGAGCAGCAGCATTACCGAAGCTATTAAGTCTAGGGCTCTTACGTGCGGTGTGGTTGGAGCGGAGGACACGCAGCTGCATGGTAAGGGTCAAAATCAAAATGGGCATGGTCAGCAGCAGGAGCAGCACGCGCATGTGCATGTGCAATTCCGGCAACAGCAGACTCGACCTCGGTCGATCACGCACAGGGAGTCGAGGCGCATCGACAACAGGACGTCTCGGCACGAGGTGAAGATGACAAAGGAGGGTAAGAGCGGTGTGGATGTGGGTATGAATGGGGGAGAAGTTGAGGAGATGCAGCTGGAGGGTTTGGAGGTGTTGGGTGATGCGGGTATGAATGCGCTAGATGATTTCATGCGACATCAGCGGATGGTTGAGCACGGAGGTGAAGAGGTGAGCGGGAATGTGAAGACCGAGGCGATAGGTGGAGTGATGGAGTTCGACGGTGGTGGAGTTGCGGACGAGGCGAGCATGTTTTCGGACGCATTGGTGAAGGCAGATGGTGCAGGGGTGGAGGGCCGAGTGGGAGGCGTAGGGGTGAACGATGAGAGGCGGGACTATCTCCAGAAGACATTGGAGGCGGCGGTGCTGACGGACACAGCAGTACCGTTCAATGAGGGCGGTCATGTAGAGGTGTCGGAAATAGAGACGGTTCGGGCGGAGGCGGGAGGTGCTGTGATAAGGCAAGATATGGAGCATGGGCAGCCACAGGAGGTGGTGGGGTCGTCAGGGTTGGGTGGGATGGGAATTGAAGCAGGATGGGAGGGTGAAGCGCAGGTGCAGAGGGATGTGTACGAGAGAATGGCATCGGAGCCGACTCTCGTGATCGGCGGTGTCTGCGCTGTGCAGAAGCGTTTGACAGCGGCAAGGGAGGAGAGGGTCGCTGTTGATGACGTGGAAATGGGGGATATAGGTGAAGAGATTACGGTTGGACCATCGAGCACTAGCGAAGTTCGTTCAGAGGCACTATCAGTGGTGCAAGACTGGTGTTCATCTGGACCCAGGGGTTTGGCCGAAGTTGGGTTGGAGGAGTCGGATTTGGGAGGTTGGGTGGAGTTGAGAGAAAGAGTAGGGACAAGGACAGGTGTTTCGAGTACTTGTTGCTTGGAAAGTGGATCGTCAACGATGGAACCGGAGGAAGAGAAGTGTGCACACGATGAGAACGCACTAGTTGCTGTTCCACAAGCTTCATTTGGGTAGGCTGCCCGTCAGAGTAAGTTGAACCAGACAGCTACTCTGCATTGTAGTAGGTTGGTTTGCCCTCAATATATGTATGCTCCGGATTTCGTTTTTAAGTTCAGGCTTGCTTGATTTCTAGCTGATGATTGAAGTTGTGTGCACAGGTGGTTGAGTGACTGTGCGAGTATTCGCTTTTGTGGTTTGCGGAAGTCTTTATATCTGGGGGTTCTGCTGAAGTTGGATTACCAATTTGTTCGACATGTTCATTCGTCAGGAATTGAAGTTCAGTTTTAATTTTTTTTAATTTTTCACTTGTGGACGTCAAACACTAGTGTCTGCTTGACACTTGTATAGAACCAGGTGGGTTTTCCTTCACTTTGATTAGTCGCTTCAGTCCATTAGAAATGACTGTTGATGATGTTGCCTTTTTCTTATAGCATTTCTGTGTTTTCTGTCTGTCTGTCTGTCTGTCTGTTCGTCTGTCTCTCTTCTTGGTTTGTTTTGCTGATATCAAAGTTTTTGATGTTTCTGTGGGTATGGAACAGAGTGTTCTCCTTGAGAAGTGAAGCCTTTGAATGATGAATATCTGGTAAGGTTGCAAGACTGCTATTCAGCTTTGTGGTGTACATAAGTTCTGCATCAGGAGTCTTATATGCACGGGGAGGGACGATGGGCCATAGTTGCTGGGCAGCAACTCTAGTTCCTTATGTCGGCCACGACACTGCCACCCACAATTTGTAGGTATGAAAGGTCATGTACAATGGATTTGTCACGGTTCTACGGACACAGCTCTGGGTTTACTCCAAACATAATTACGTATACAATACTTCGTTCTTTTCTCATGATTACCCTAACCCTTTCTAGTGCAAAGGCAATCTAAATCTTTTTAGCGTCTATAGGTGATACTATTCACAATATGATATTTTCACAACATCGTTAATATTCTTTCAATCCTCAATTTCACTTAATTATTTCTCATAAATGTCTGTAGATCTGGTGTTTTAAATTAATTATCTTATAAATAATTTAGATCTATCTAGAACCATTCTTACGGTACGTAATTATTACAATAGGTTATCGTGGTTTTAAAGGAAGCATTTAAATCATTTTGAGTGAATATACTGTATAGCTATATGTGAAATAGTGTATTCAGAAGCCCCGTTAAGGGTCAACTAATTGTAGAAAATGCAAAGTGTGCCTGGAGAATAAAAGCAGGAAACTGAGATGTAGTTTATGCTTAAATACAGATGGAATTAATCATGAGATAGGTATGATATGAGAATTTAGTGTAAAAACTAGAATACCGTCATTGGGACTCTTTGGGCCAATAAAGGCCGTCTTATTAACCATGTATCAATTTTCCCTTCGGGGATTCCGTTGTTCATCCTGATGTTGAGTGACTTGGTCAAGTGTCTGCATCTACTTGGATGTATACGAAAGTTATACTTGATTTCGTTTATATTGTCACTGAATCACTTGATTGATTCAAACCAGGTATGGCAACTATGCTATAAACCCTGATTGGTAGATGAATGGGCATTATCGAATGACCTAACACTGTTGTGTACAAGGCTGGATTTCCCCACATGAACTCTACAAACCTGAATGACAGTCTTTGCGTACAGTGGTATCAATGTACGACATATCAGGAGGAACGACATAAAATTTGACTTAATTTTCTTAAAGCCCGATTCCATGTTCCTCTGTGCAAGTCCTTGTATTGTTAAGAACGTGTTTAATAGGCTGAATAGGCCTTGAACGTGTTTAATATTCAAAGGACATGTACTGGTAGACTCGGCCTGATTATTCCTAGTAAACCACCAAGAGTTCAAGAAATTTACATTTGAAATGTATTGACATTCTGTCTCACTATTCATTTTTTGATGGAATTTGCTACATTGTTCACAAAGGCTTTGTGGTGGAATTTGCAAACAAAGTTGCAAACAAATATTCTAACAAAATTGATTGTTTTTTTTTTGTTTGCTTTTTTACTTTATTATGTAGAGTATGAATGACTAAAATATCTAGTTATATGTAATTATTAAGATTATATTCATTATTTATATATAATTATTTACATTAATATTTTTGTTATTTTTAAAATCATAATTTTAACATCATTAGCAGTCTATTAAATTGACACTAGCTATTTAATGTTTAATTGCATCTTTGATTCATTAATGGCTTTGTACACCTTTAATACTAAAAAAAGAACAAACAAAATTGTTTTGAAAAGACAATTGTATGCACCATTCAAATGACTATTATAATGGGTAGTTCTAAATGTTTTTCTCACTATTTATACCATGTTTGTTAATTTTTTGAAGTTTTAGTCTGAATCCAATTAAAATTAAAAATTTAAGTGCTGAAGAGATTTTTATGTTGGAGTTAAATAATTTAAGACAAATAAATTTGGAGTGTACAAGAAGTTCTCAAAATATGAAATTAAAGGTAATGACTTTATGAACCTATCCCACAACCCTTTTTACAAGGCAACATTATTATTTTAATACTATCTCCATTTAATATAACTTAACAAAGTTATAAAAAATTCACAGATTCAAAGGTGGCCTTGCATTATTAGATTTGAAAAGGTACAATGAGAAATTCTATCTGAATGTCTTATAAGATATTATATACATATTTTTAAAGTATACATATTAGTTGATATTTAAGAAAATCATGAATTAAGGTAATTTGACCAATTTTCAAATCTTTGTAATAGAGAAATAATCTAGTATAGTTTTACATTAAAATTTCAAATCCTGATTATAAACTAGTCATATTTTAGAATATCACTTTTAAAGAATCATAATGATTTGTGCAATACCATGCTTGCAATGATCAATATAAAATTGTGTTTAAAGTAAAATGTTATACAATCAGATCCCAATTATTATTTAATTTTTCCAATAAAAATTATGTGTAAATTGTTCATGTGTTGGATTAAAGTAAATTTTTATTTTGATGGATAAGGTAGATAAATTTGTTACATTTACTTACTTGAAGAAAATCAACTATTGCTTTGTAAATCATTAAGAGTTTAGTGCATGAAATATAATAATAGATTAGTTTTATTTTAAATGATAAAATTGATGTGATAACATACTACATAGCTAACAAATTAGAGCAATATATTGTTTATATTTTCTAATTTTAGTATTTATAACTATAAGATTAAGTTTTAGAACAATAATCATTTGTATTAATGATATAAAATCTTGTCAAAACAAAGTTATTGTTAGATTGGCAAATATTATTAGTTTTAAACCAAACTAATTAAATCCTTTAACAAGATTCTAGTAAATATGTTTTTACATTTTTTTAAAAAATAATATACATTGTTATACAAGAAATACATGATATAATAGTATAAAAGTAATTACAAGATTTCAAGTATTTATTTTCTTTTATTTATCTAAATACTAACTTTATTATTCTACAGTATCCTTTAAATGTAATACAAAAAGATTTTTGTTAAAATAAAAATTATATAACATATTAATTTATTTGATATTAAAAATATTATTAAAAATATTAATTTTATATTTGTTATTAATAAAAATTATAAATTTAAATTACTTAAATAATTAAAAATCATATTATTAATATTTTATTATTGATATTTTTTTATTAGCATATTAGTTTCTAATATAATAGTGTTTAAATATCAAATCTCATTAATTCATTAGAATAAAACACTAAATATCTTTGAAGTCAAAATTCGTTTTTGAACTACTTAGTATAATAGTTTTTTTATGAATTATTAATTGATATGATTATTTTATTTCTTATATGTTATTGGATTTTTATTTTGTAAAAGAAAGTTATATTAGATGTCTATATTACTTAAGTAAATAGAAATAAATAGAAATAAATAGAAATAAGTAGAAACATAATAAGTAGGTAACATCTTTATGAAGGAACATAAAAAAGCTTTCTAGATATAGATTGGATCAAAATATTATCCTAAATATACTACATTTCTATTAAGATATTTTATAGAAGATTTTTATTTTTAAAAAGTAATTAAAAAAAAAACTTCTAATATAGATGCTTAAATTGTAAGTCTTGTAGTATTTAGAAAATGTCACATGATCTTTTTGGTATTTGTGTGGATACACTATTCATGTGTGTATCTAATTTTAATTCTTGGCATTAGAATTTGTAGTATACAATGTTACCTCTCATAAGTTTTAAGGTTGGTTCACCTTCCCAAAACATAACTTATATGAGGTTAAAACTTACGAGATTTTGCCAAAATCATGAATGTGCTCAAGTATCTACTTATTGCTAGCCTAGTATTTTTTTCTTGTGTATACTCAACACCTGTACGACTTATATAATATTATGCTTTACAAATGCCTAGCGATTGTTGATTTGCAAGGAGAAGAATGCATAGCCTCCAATCTTATAGATGACTCTTGGAGAGTGGACCAAAATCGAATTTAAGCTTATGAAAGCACCCTCATAAGTTGCTATTAGCAAAATCTTGAAGAAACAAAATGAGTACAAAGCCATAGATTAGGACCAACTTCAAGCAAAGCGCCTATGAATAGTTCTCTTTTTCAACTTCAAAGAATCACTTGCTCTATGGATTTTGCAACGGCAATCTCAAAATATATTGTTGTTAGTTGAACTCATTAAGAAGCAGAATCAATGCTTTGCAAAGATGTTTGCGATCTCCAAAGTCAAAATAGAGCTTTCAAATGGCTTGTTTGAATTTTTTTTTCTTGCTTCAAGCTAAAAGTAATGAAAATGCATGGAGAAGCAATTTTAGCTGAATCAAGTTGGTATTAATGCAGCAATATATGCTCTACATTCTCGTATTGTGAGTTATGATTTTTGCAATGTATATAATATGGATGAAAGGGGACTATTTTAGAGTATAGTGCCAAATTAAACTATTATTCAACAACAAATTATTAGCTAGAAGAAGAAAATTGCATAGGTTACCATTACATTCACATCCAATGTTAATAGAACCTACAAATTGCCGCCATTTTTTATTGGCTATGCCCACAAGCCTAGTTGCTTCAATTGTTGTACACACAAACAATTGGATTTTTATTATTGGTTCAATAAGAAGGTGTGAATGACTAGAATTTTTTTCTAAGAATGGTTCAAAAATCTCAACAAAGAGATGGAGAAGGCACATTGGTAGATCCTACTCCTTATGGACAATGCACCATCATACATTACAAACAAGTAGATTTCTTCCAACATCAATATCTATATACTTCTTCCAAATGCAACTTCAAAGATCCAGCCAATTGATGCTAGAATCATTGTAGTACTCAAGTGGTACTACCGGAGCTTCTATTTGTAGAATGTACTTAACTAGGACGAGCAAAATGACATCAACTTATACAAAATCAATGAATTGATGGCAATGTGGTCGTCACTTGCAGCTTGAGTAGAAATATCTCTAATAACAATATAAAATTATTTTCAACATCTTAGATTGTTTAAAGAGGCACTTGAAGTTGCAAAAATCAATGGTGAAGAAACAATCAAAGAAGAGTTGGTGGGCATAATTTGAGGTCTTTCATTACAAAATCCAATATCAATCAAAAACCTATTCAACTCAATTGAAGAAAATAGTACATATATTGAGCTAAATAATCATGAAAATTTTGAGCTTATTCATCATCTATATATAGAGGAAGGTGAAGGTATTGACAACACTCTTGAAGAAGATTGTGTGCCAACATTATTCATGTGTATGGAGAAGTTGCTGAGCCTTTTCATGGTTATTTCTATGCTAGATGTTGGCAATGTGGGTAAATACGCTATCTACAAGACCCTTTATGACACTCAATAGAAGCTACGTACAAAAACCCTCTAGCACAACACACTAGATTTCTAACTAAGCTAGATTCTTTACAATTTACACCTTCCTTAAAGTTATAGCCTTCTGTTTTTTTCATTCCTAGCCATAACTGATAACTTACAAGAATTATAACTTAATTGTAGTGTAATCAATTTTTCAAAACTTGTCGAAGGTTACAATATATTAGGAAATAACTTATAAGAGATAATATTGCATATATAATTTTTTAGGAAATAAAATAAAATAATAATATAAGTTATTATTTATTCTCAATTAATATGCTATATTGAGATTTAAGTTTCATTCAAATATTATCAAATTTTTTTAATATGTACAAAATATTTAATTTAAAAATAAAATAACATCCTAATTCAACTACATCTATTTTAAATTGTCTCTATTGCAAATATTAGCTTAGATGTATTTTTTCTTTTTTAGTTTTTTGTAGTATGTGTGTATATATATATATATATATATATATATATATTTCTTTTAGTTTTATCCACATTAAGTTAATTATCCACATTAAGTTAATAATAACATGCTACATATATATATATATATATATATATATATATATTTCTTTTAGTTTTATCCACATTAAGTTAATAATAACATGCTAAATATATATATATATATATATATATTTAAATAACATAGCTTAAATAAAATTAATCAAATGATCTTGGATTCTGTTTCCTTATTTTTTACTGAATAATACAATTCATAAATTTCAAAGATGCCTAATCAAGAATCAAATCCAATATCCTTATCCAAGAATGTAATCAATGGAAGAAATAATTCTTAAATCTTAAATCCTAGAGAACAAAACCCAAACTCCTCACTTGGTGACAAATCATAACCCTTAAATCCTAAACCCTCTAAGCAGGAACGAAAGTCGATGAACAGATGTCATGTTCCTTCAATGCAAAGGCTGGCAGAGGCCCTAAATTAAATTAAGGTAGGCAATCCTTGATCACGACCAGAAATTCTCAGGAAGGGTGAGAAAGAGAAATGGAGCGGTGACTACATTGAATGAAAAGGACTTGTTCAACTCTGCTATGGTACCTGAATAAAATCTAGTCTCAACATTCTATAGTATTTTGCAAGAGTGCTGTATTGCGATCAAGAAATCTGATCATCACATTGGGAAGCTGATCCCATAAGACGTTCATTGTAGCAGAATTTCAAACTAATTGGAGTATGTATGCTCATTTGATGCAACTGATAATATTAAAAAGAAAACATTCACTGTTACAATTCGAATATATGTTACACAGCTGGATGTGAACTCCAATCAACACGTTATTTTGCACAATATATTACACTTCATATATATGTTTAGATATATATATTCATGTATACAAGTATACATACTTTGAAAGCAGTTTCCATTACCCTCAACTGCGTGTAATAAAATTCAAAGATAAAAACGGATCAAATGATAGGATAAAATTTAACCAAACTACGTTGTTTTTGTTTTCCCTGAAATGCTTTCGACAAACATGTATCACTTGACGTGGAGGGAGACGAAACGTACAATTGGATATCTTATGGCTACCTATGAGGTGGATGTGTGATACATTTACGAACTCACATTCTACACATGCGGGGCCATACCCGATGTGCCTGACATCATGAAGTACCAAATGGATGCTGTAACAACTCCCAACAAAAACACGAACACAAAACCATTCCCATACCGCTTGGTAATGTGCCTTTGAGGTTGGCTTCTTGCACTACACTGATCACAGTCTGCTTGGTTGCAATTCTCGGTGCAAGGTCTCCATGTTCCAGATAGGACTCCTTGGTGCAACCTCCCTTCAGTATAGTCCATCACAACAGCCTGCACACGCTTGGAACCATTTTCAGAGCTCGAACAGGTTACGTGTAAAGCAATCAGATGTGAATCAGAAGTTTTCACGTAGGTGCTGGTGAAGCCAGGTGATTCAACAGCTGAATCTGGAGATATTGGCAGAAGACCATGCATTCTTGAAGGTTTTTCGGGAGGATTTTGTTCACAGTCTGCAGCTTGCGGAGAAGGTGTAGGCACATCCTTAGGTCTCTGCCTATCATTTACAGGAGCATGTGTAGCGAACGTCATATCCGGTTGCGTCTGGAAAGGTGTAGCCTCATCCTGAGTTAGAGCAGGCTGCTCTTTACTAATTGACGAAAGTGGCGACCCTTTAATACTAGTCCCGATATCTGCACAAATAAGTTAAATCCCATCAAAACCCAGGTATGATAGCTCTATTGATAGTGCCGCATGATAATCCTGCAGAAAATGCTTAAGTTGGCAGTAGATTTTCAAAAGTCTGGTGAAAACCTTGAATTAAAACCAGTACCTTCAGATGAATCTGTGACATCACAATTGCCTTCACTTGCCAAATCTACTTGTCCAAAGTCCATCAACAATTCTTCTGAAGATCTGTGGAGGTCGAGATCTGGAGATTTATCTTTGGAGTAATGCTCAGAAACAAAGGTCATCGAATCTCCAGATGACTCACTCGTGTGGAAGATCTTGGACACGCCATTGGAAGTCGACACAGACTTAAAGATATCCATCGACTTGTTGCCCGGCGCTTCACGCCGCACCAATCGTATTCTACGGGCAACATCACCCTGAGAGTCTAATTGCGCCATTGCTGAAAAACCTTTCCTAGGGATCAACTGAATTCCAGTATCTCCCGGATCAAAAACCCCTCCACATGGTATCATCAAACTCTTGTCAATACCAGTGCCCTCCACAGAATCAGGAGGAAGAATTCCAACCTTTAAGTCATTCGCATAGTCGAAATCGCCCACAACATTCTCGCCTGACATCAAGTTCTGGTCGATAATTGATTCCTTCCAAGATTCACCCCCTACATCATACGTAGGTTGCTGCAATAATCGGAGGTCCTCCTCCGTAAACAAATCTGCAAAATTGGCAGAATTGGTATTAACCATTTCAGGGAAACAAAATTGTCCATCTTCGTAACTCATAGGGCCGGGGTTCCCATACAAGTTCTGGTCGATAGGGAATTCCTTCCAAGATTCAGCCCCCGTGTCATACATAGGTTGCAGCAATGATTTGAGGTCCTCCTCCGAAAGCAGATCTTCAAAACTGGCTTGACTGGTACCAAGCATTTCAGGGAAAAAAGATTGCCCATCTCCACAGCTCATATGACCCGGGGTCCCATACAATAATTTTGCCCTTCCAACTTCAGAAAAAAAATCATCTCGGCTTGAAGTTTGCGTGGGCAGTGCTTCAGGTTTGATCATCACAGCCGGCTCCGGCTCCAAATCGATCGAGGAGGGCTGGACCTGTTCATGAGTAGAGGTGCAAGGTTCTTCATGTGAAGGAGAACAGGGTTCCTCGATGAACGGGGCTCCATACTGAGCTCCGTTATTGGGCCCAAGACCACTCTTGTGAAAGACGCGAGCAAGAACATAAGGCTCCTGTCTCTCCTTCAAAGATTCATAAAACTTATCCTCCATGCGGTACTCATGCATAACCCAATCAGTACGTTCACCGTTGGGAGCTCTACCCGTGTAATACACCAGAGTTTTCTTCATGCCATTTGCATACTTGCACCGAATACATCTATCCTTCCCTGTCGACTTCCAGTAACCCAATTCTGTTGCTCGGTTGGTGCGAGAACCGCTTGGATACTTCTTGTCACGTGCATTATAGAAGTACCATTCCCGGTCGTTACTTCCATTCACAGACCTCACTGGCAAGTCCCATGGCTCCATCTTATAGAGGTCCACTACTACGATCGGATTCACATCAAAACGCTCGCCATTTATTTTCCGCTTCAAGAAATGCGCCACTAGCTCCACATCAGAGGGGGAGAATCGGTAACCAGGGGGAAGGTCAGTGACGATCATTGCGTCTCGGACGGTTTGTCAAATTAAAAAGTATTTCCAATACAAACCCAACAACACCCACTTCAATTATTCCCTCAAATTCTAGGGTCCAACACAGTAGTGAAAGCAATCGCATTCCACGTCAACGATACTTGAAACCAACGATCATGTGCAAAACCCACCACCACCACCACCGAAGATGGCTTCCGAAACTAGCTATGGCGGACCACGCAGAGAAATCCACTGCCAAAACAACCCACACGAAGCTGCTAGACAGCGAAGCCGGAATCGGTTCAAGGTGGAGGCAGGGGGGAACAACTGAGACAAGTTCTCATGAGAATTTGAGAAGAAATGGGAGCCGAGCAAAGCTACTGCTGCTTATTTAACTTGACAGGCTAACAAGCAGACGATCTGCACGGAGGCGCTTTCAAAGAGGCCTCAATTACATTCATTCAGATGCGCCGGGTACCTACTGCTCGGAACCAGCCCAACGAAACTTGCAGAGCAAGGCGGGCGGAACATCTCGTCCTTGCCATTACGATACCAACAACGATTCCCCCGATTACCCTGGAATCGTTGAATTATTTACACTACTCCACTTCGGTACAGACTTTTTTTGGGGTTCATGCTCGCCTCTATCTCCAGTTATCTACCTTCTGATTGGCAGACCTTTGACTAGTTCGTGAGAGTTTTACTCGCGTGGTGGTTGAGGGCAACGCCACCACGATCCCCTCACCCTTGAGTGCTGGTTTGCTATGATATGTATATTGTAGCAATTATATGTATATGAATATGACCATTACTTCAAAATATTTTTAATAGAAAACTTCTTGCTACAGACAAACTACATAAAACTATAAAAAAATTCCTGTTTAGTGTCTTAGTATCAAAGACATGTAGAATTTGTATTTGACCAGGTTTGAATCTTTCACAACACAATCATGACATTAAACTAAGTGAAATGTTGAAATCCTTTTCTAACATTGTGGAAGCAACCACATAAATCCATTGGTGCATGGTACCGATTGAGTGAACAAACAAAAAATGACAACATAAAACCAAAACAGTCAATAAAGGTTGTATCACAAGCACAAAATGATACTGAGTATGTGAATTGCTATTGTTAAGATGCTCAGATAAAGGGAGCATGTCGGCGGGTGATTGGAGCTGTTCGTGTGCAGCTGATTGATAGTCCACTGCAGCAGTGGCCTCCCAAGCAACATAAATGCGCAGGTGCCAATGTCTCCGCGCATTCATCCCCCTCCACATTAGAATGGGACCAGAGAAGCAGAATGAAGTATTCAAATCACTCCCTGCACAGAAGTGCGACTGCATTCTGATCATACCATCGAAGTCGCGAAAAGCAGATTGCAATAAAAAAAATTATTTATCCTTCTAGAGACAATTATGTACATGTTGCGTTGCCGCATGAAATTGTGATCAGTGATCTAGATAACAGCCACGGGAATGAATTTCGGCATGACGGACCATTGAGGTTCCAAGGCGATCGCTCGTGATCCTCGATACGAGCTCAACATTTCTGGGTCGTTGCAGGATGTGGCTGAAGTGCCCTCGCTGGCATTGGGTTCCGAGCTTAGAAGGGGATGGCGCCAGAAACACGGGGATACACGACGCGGTTAGGGTGGTGCAGCAGACGCCGTGCCTTCTGTTTCCTGAAGCAGTACAATGCAGCGCCCAGCGGCCATTCCACCACGGCGGTGACTAGAAACGCCACCACTCCCAGCGTCGGACCTACGATCTTGCACCGACACGGGTTCTGCCTCGTCCCACACTGCACACACAACGGAATAGCCATCTGTCGCTGTCTCTCTTCCTCTCTCCCTGACTCGAAAACCCTAAACGTTCCTGCTCTCGCTTGTTCCTCTCGATCACTGCCTCCCAACCCAAAATCCAATACCCAGTTTGCAAAATGGTAGGAGGATGCGCAACAGCTGCAGATCAGTGAAACCCCGAGTACTTGAGACGATGGAAGCTTGACAGTATTGGTCAATTATCCCATAATCTTTGTTTATATCGAAGGCCTTGAGCGCAGCTGGATCGGCACGTGGCCCTCCTCTCTGTCCCAACTGAAAGCGTCACGGAGTACTAGATATTTTACTTCACCGTCAACCCTCCACAATCTCAACGACGCGTGTTGCCGCTCGGTGTCGTTCGATTCTTTTCGACTTGGCTTGGACGTCCGTCGTCGAGTCTCGTTGATGTAGCGGACTCTCGTCGTACTCGACGACGGACCCATGCTTTTGAGGATGTTCAGTTTGTCCTTCATCTTGAGTATTGGTGTAATTTCATCCACGTGATCTATGATTAGGTGGAGGTGTGGATGATAATCTTGTTGGAAATGGTTGAGAAGCAATAAGAATATTATCACACATCAAATGTTTCTAATAATTGTTTTGCAATCTTATCAAAAAATATCTACAAGAATAGAATAAATATTCAAATATAAATATCAAGTAATATGTGGTTTGTTTACAAAACATGCCAACTATTACACAAGCTAATGACTTCTTGTGTTAAAGATAGTTTAATATATTTTCTATTGCACCTCTTATGTCTGTATATGTTACAAGAAGAGATTGCATTCATATTTTTTTTATAATTATTTATTTATTTATCTGTATTTTATAGTGTAATTAAAAGATATAATTGATTTTTTATAAGAATTTTAAGCACATGTAATAAGAGAAAAAATAAAAAAAAATAAAATTGCTTCTATCATCTCTTCTAATGTTATCAAGTGTTTTCTTATTGTAATTGTTTCTATAGTTTAGCTTGTTTATCTTATAATAAATATCTATATTATTCTAATAAATAGAAACAAATAGAAGTATGTAGAAATAAGTTAGGTAGATAACATCTTTTTAAGAAGTATCAAAAAATATTTTTTAATTTCTAATTCTAACTTTTAAATTTTTATAGATATGATATGTTGATATAATATTTAAAAGTTTTTTTTTTTTTTTTTTTTTTTTTTTTTTTTTTTTTTGATTTTAGAAAGTTGTGGAAGAAACAACTTATAACTTTGATGCTTGAGCCATAAGTTTTGTAGTTCTTATGAAACTTCCACATGGCTTTCTTGGATGCAAAAATAATATTATTTTTAATTTTTTAGCATCTTTTTTTGTTAGTTTGATTTTTTTAGATATGCCAAGTGAATCTACCTTTTTTTAATATTGGCTATAAGTTTCATGATTATTAGAAAACTTCTACATGACTTTTTTGGATGCTGGTCCTTAAAAAACTTTTACATAGATTTTTTAATAGTTAGTATATAAGGATGTAAGAATAATGTCATCTTTAGTGTTATTAGCATCCTTTTTGTTGTTTTGGTTTTTAGTACAAAAACCTTTAAATTTTTAGTATTTAACAATAGATATTCTAATGTACTTTGTCTCTTATATTTTTATTATTAAAATATAACTTAGATTTATATTCTTCACACTCTTTCTATTAAATCTAAAAATATTGTAATATTAGCTTTAAAAGTACAAAAATCTTACAAAATTCTAATTCTTGCAAATAAAATCTAAATAAGTTACTTGCTTGAGATGTCTACTGATTTTGATTTTTAATATAAGAATAAATAATAATAGCATAATAAATTTAAGAATTTATTAAAGCCATATCTCAATTTTATTAATGCCACATTTTTCTTCCCACTTCATGATTTATTTTGTACATGTCCTCCATCTCCAACCTCATTTCCAATCCCATTCTCAGATCCTATTTCCAACCTTCATTTCATATCTCCAACTCCACTCTTAGCTCCTATTTCCAACTCTCATCTCATGTTCTTAACTTCGTTCTCGGCATCCATTCCATATCTCCAACTCTACTCTTAGCTCCTATTTCCAACTCTCATCTCATGTTCCTAAATTCGTTCTCGGCCTCCATTCCATATCTCCAACCCTATTTTCAGCCTCTATTCTATGTTTTTAATGCCATTTCTAGCTTCCATCTTATATCTCTAACTTTGTTTCTGTCTTTGTTCCCTATCTCTAGCCCCATTTTTAGTCCTCATTCCTAGTCCTTGATTCCATTCCTAGCCCTCATCCTTTGTCTTTGACTTTGTTCCTACTCTCCATCATTTATTTCAAGTCCCATTCCTAGTCCTCATCCTCTGTCTTTGGCCTCGTTCCTACTCTCCATTATTTATCTCCAATCCTATTCTTAGCCCTAGTCCTCTATCTTTGGCCTCGTTCTTACTCTCCATCATTTATTTTTAGCCCTATTTCTAGTCCTCGTCTTCTATCTTTACCCTCATTCCTACTTTCCATCATTTATTTCCAATCCCATTCTTAGCCCTCATCCTCTTTCTTTGGCCTCATTCATACTCTCCATCATTTACTTCTAGTCCTATTTCTAGCCCTCGTCCTCTATCTTTGGCCTCGTTCCTACTCTCCATCATTTATCTTCAGCTCCATTCCAAGCCTTCATCCTCTGTCTTTGGCCTCGTTTCTATTGTCCATCATTTATCTCCACCTCCATTCCTAGCCCTCGTCCTCTTTCTTAGGCCTCATTCCAACTCTCCATCATTTATCTCCAATCCCATTCTTAACCCTTGTCCTCTGTCTTTGGCCTCATTCCTAATTTCCATCATTTATGTCCAGTCCCATTCCTAGCCTTCATCCTCTGTCTTTGGCCTCGTTCCTATTGTCCATCATTTATCTCCAACTCCATTCCTAGCCCTCGTCCTCTTTTTTTGGCTTCACTCGTACTCTCCATCATTTTTCTCCAATCCCATTCTTAGCCCTTAATTTTTGTCTTTGGTTTCATTCCTAATTTCCATCATTTATGTTCAGCCCCATTCTTAGCTGTCATCTACTGTCTTTGGCCTCATTCCTATTGTCCATCACTTATATACAACTCAATTTCTAGCCCTCGTCCTCTTTCTTTGTCCTCATTCCTACTCTCCATCATTTATCTCCAATCCCATTCTTAGCCCTTGTCCTCTGTCTTTGGCCTCATTTCTATTATCCATCATTTATCTCCAGCTCCAATCTTAGCCTCCGTCCTTTGTGTTTGGCCTCATTCCTACTCTCCATCATTTATCTACAGTCCCATTCCTAGCCCTCATCCTTTGTCTTTGGCCTCATTCTTATACTCCATAATTTATCTCCAGCCATTCCTAGCCCTCGGCCTCTTTCTTTGGCCTCATTCCTACTCTCCATCATTTATCTCTAAATCCATTCTTAGCCCTTATTCTCTGTCTTTGGCCTCGTTCCTAATTTCCATCATTTATGTCCAGTCCCATTCTGTAGAATAAGTAGTTATTTGCTGAATTGTAGATACTTAGTTTATAGTATAAACATGGATAGATGACTGTTGAAAAGGTAGTTCAGTAGGTAAAATGGATGAATAGTTAGGAAAAACACTTTTTATTAGAGATGTAGTAGTTGGTATCTCGTGGTAGCATAAGGAGGATGGTAGAGAGGAAGTAAGGGCCAGACTCTGATAGTGTGAGCAGGGGTAAGTTTGGTGCTACCTCTTTTCTTTTGTTTGTTATTTTCTTTGAATAAGAAGATTAAGAGTTTTTGAATATTATGAAAGTGAATTATGGAATGGAAGTATGATTGTTATTAAATGGGAAGAAGAAAGATTGAATGCTGAAATTTGATTGTAGTTCAGAAGAGAGAATGAGTCTGTGTTTGTGTGAAACACTATAATGTGAAGGCAGTTAATGGTGAAGAACTCTAGAGTTTGGATTATAGTATAATTATGTCCTATCATTTAGGATAGTGCGGGATTACACGTTGTTGTTATCAGTGATGGTGGAGTATTATTAGGAAGTGGAAAGCATTGTAGTGTTCCCTGGGTGTTTTAAGTAGTGCGGAATACAATTAATTGTGTGACCCTAACGTGTAAGCTCATGCGGTATTCTTTCCCTGTGTTTGAATTTCCATATACAGGTTTTCTCTGATTAGATTAGTTAGAGTAAGTAAAACGACAATCACATTTTGGTGCCGCTGCCGGGAAAATTGATAATAGCATGAAGTGTTAGGTATTAACTGCCAGTTGAAGTAGATGGAAAATAGGTAGCAGTCGCAAAAGAATATAATGAAAGAGTATGGTTATTAAGAATGAGAACTTAACAGTAAAGAAAATACGGCAGTCAAGAGAAAGAATAGAGAGATCGCAAGCAAGAAATTTGTTGCGGAACGAGCAACAAAGAAAGTTAAAAAGGAATCATAGACAAAGCTGGATTAAGCCATGGTTGCATGCCTGTTGTCATATTCGAGCATACCCACAAGCTAATCGACATCTAGTATTTCAGAAGTATATATCGTTAGAGAAATTGCCAAGAGCACTTGCGGAAAATTTGGTCAATAGGCCAGGGTTTCTTTTGAGACCGTTAACTAAGAGTGGGGGAATCACAAAAGAGTTGGGTACTCCATTGTGTACGTTTCTAATAGCGGAAACTACCAATTCCGTCAAAACTGGTTCCATAGAGTGGCATAAATTATTGATCAATAAGGGCCAATTCAGTGTGTTTCAAAATCCATCATTCTCACCTCCTATTCAACCAATAAACTTGTTCAAGGATAATAATAGCAAATTGAGCAAGGTGGAAAGTTCGGAAAATATATTTGGGAGAGACACAGACTATATTAACAAATTATTAAGTGTCACATTGTCAAATTCAATGATGACGGGAGGTCGAGCGATTACCATAGCAGTACAAATGGGTACTGTGAGTGATCGCACAACTAGCGTGGCTCCATTACCTACTTTTAGGGGCTTTCCGGGTGCGGATCCAGATCAACATTTGTCGTAGTTTTTGACAGCCTGTCTTGCCAATAATGGGAGAATCGAGGATATTTGGTTACGATGGTTGTCAGCAATCTTAAAGGATATGGCATTTGAATGGTATAACCGTCAACCAGTTGGTCAATTTTTGAACTGGGAAGCATTGAAGAATGTTTTTTTGACCCATTTTTGACCAATTGGTTTTGAAGACTGTCTTCGAGGAAGATTAATGAACAGCAAAATGAT